GCGTAGTGACATGTATTTTACCTTCAGCTGTAGAAAGTACACAATACCTCAGTTAAAGATCATTTGCTTTACAGTCGCACACATTTACGTGTGTGACTATAACCATTTACATGTGGTAAAGAAAACACATTAAAAAGTCATGTTGTTGCATGTACATAATACCAATGTACATGTACCAGTACATGTACATGAACTGTAGTACATATACATGACTATTACGCCTGCACTGCATATCTAAAGTATGTACATGTAATGTCTCACATGTACATGTACCAGTATGCTAAAGAGGAATACAGCCCTGTTACTAAATACTACACTGTACCTACTACCAAAGGAAGCAAATATGACCAGGAAACTTACATACTGGTACATGTACATCTTTTTGCCATTCCCTTTGCCACATCAGTTCTCATCAGAATAAAAAAGAACAGCCATTAGACATGATAAATGAATCCATTGGTGAATTTTTTCCCCCTAGATATCTCTGACTTAGACATTCTTTCAGCCTCACTGGGCCAGTTTTTCATTGGAAATGGTGGTGATTCATCCCACCCAGTCCTTGATCATGGAGACAGATGGTATCCTAGTCCTAGACAGCATATTTAGTTCATGACTACCAAACCGTTACCCCAATGGGGCATTCGGCAGACAGGGTATATGGGCCTTGCAAGCAGCAAAGTGATCAATTAATGTTGCGGCCTGTCTTCTTTGCTGTGCATTGCTGCAGAATGGATTGGAAGCAGTTGGAAATGGACGAATTTAAATTGATGCGGCATTCCAATTGTTAGAGTGTTACTGATGCTGCATTTGTGATGGGTTCATTAATACTACAAGCCCCCTGTTGGATACATGTATGTCATGTATGTAGCTGAAAGCATATCTGATATGAATAGTAAGCAGTTCTTGGAAGTTTCCTTTCCTGTTTTTTGCTTTTGGGGAGGAGGGGGTAGAAATAATGTACTAGTACCGGCACACCATTGACATTGTACTTGCATGATGTACAGAATCATCTTTTGATTTTCTGCATCCTAATTTTTCCATATCCGATTATGCTCAGACCATTGTAAAGTGGTTTTTTTTTAATACCAAATGTGTAAATCAATACAAATCTTCATACCAATAATTGGAGCATACATATATATACTGGTACAACTGGGAATACAAATACCCACATGAAAAATGTACCTCTCGGCTGTACATGCATCCATGGATGTGTTAAGATGCACTGTGTTACACGTACTGGTAGGTACTGGGTACTAGTACATTTGTACATGCATTGTACGTGTGAGTACCATAAAATTATGTACACTACATGTGTACATTTCTGGTGAGTACAATATAATTTTAGTATTGCCTACTGGTACACAAACCTGTACATGGGCACAAACGAAATTCCACACACTAGTACATGTACATGTACATGTACATACAGTTCACCTACATGTACATGTACATGTACGGTGCATATACATGTAATACTTACATGTACCTGTATAGTGTACGAATAATGTTCACATGTTCACGTACATGTACACATGTAGGATACATGTACCTGTGCAAAGACTGAAGTGTGTGTAGCTGTAGGGTATGGCATGTGTCTGAACATGGACACAACGATGTACAAGTACATGTACAATGTACATACATGTACATGTAAGTACACATACAAGCACTGCACGCAATGGTACTGTAAAAAGTGGAAGAACATGTACATGTACATGTAGGATGTTTAGTATGATAACCAGTATCCTGGTCTTCATGCTCAGCATGAAGGCATGTGTTGAGCTAAAACCCCCTCTGTTCACAAGATCAGTCAGGCTACAGTTTATTCGGAAATATGTGTGCCCTGAACAAAAACATGTGTTGTTGTATTTACCAGTACATGTATTTCTGTGTTTCAATTTCATGGGAGCTGCTCTATAACAAGTGCATTGCCTTTTGTTTTTATACAGGTACCAGTAATTACAATCCCACATGCTTGTTTCCTTTAATAGTGAAACCATAACTGACGCAATTATTGCAATATCAGGTGATTGTTCTACCGTGGGAAAATCTCAGTGTGCGTAATGCTGACTTCCATGTGGTATGAATTTCCGGAGAGCATAATCTTTTTCTTCTCCTTTTCCTTTTTTTTTTGGGGGGGGCGAGGGTTACCAGTCTGGAGACCATGTTGTTTTGTTATGATAAAGCCCAATGCTTTCAGGGGCTGGTTAACCACTGCATGTGAGGTTCGATTATTGCTGTGGACTTGCACTACCGTGGGAGAAAAAGTATTCCCCGGATCCTGGATCAACAGTAGGACTGTTGTGCCCTGTGGGTGATTCTTGTGTCAGCAAACAGTTTTTATAATTGTTCAGTCTCCCTTTCTTTCTCTTTTTTGGGGGGGGGTTACAAAAAAATTACAAAATGAGCTGTCCTAAACTGAACAATGGCAGGTTCAGGCCATGTACATATACATGTACATATGTAAGTGTAAACACACAAATGACACGTATGACATAATATGCATTGGAAACATTCATATTTACATGTATACATTGTACTGTAGAGATTGTACATCATGTACATTGTAACTTACATGCACATGTATGTAAAGCTAGGAAATTATAGATTTTTGCTACCGAATGAGTGTAAACATGTACATGTATGTATACAATGTATACCAGTAGGCCAACATGTACCGGGTACATGTGTACATTACGTATGCCTGCCTAGTACTGTACTGTACCGTAAATTGATGGCGTATGTACCGTAAATTTCATGGGAAATCATTTACATGTACCGGTACCTCTTACATGGACACGTACATGTACAGTCCTACATGTATACTCACAAGGTAAATGTCATTTTGCAGATTCCGTACAGACAGATGTCAATTGTAAATATATGTACAGATGTGTGTACATGTACATAACCATGTATCGACATGTATCACGTATGTGCATGCAGAAAGGTTCATTTTCACATGGTCTTTGCTTCTTACAATCCAGACAGAAACGTTCGGTAAAAATGGATATACCAAAGGTCTACCTTGGTTGCAAAAAATCAACACAAGCAGTGTTATCAGTTGGAGTTCATTTACATGAAGGTGTAAATGACCTCTGGAGAATTTGCCACTTCCTGAACTTGTAATGGTACCCTGTGTGTTCTGTCTGGTCTGAAGTATTGTATGGCTGAGAAAGACTGACAGGTAGAGTGTAAACGCATTCCTTGGCAAATAGGCAGCTAGAGGTGAACATGACTTGGCAGCATGGGCTCACATTTTGAATGTTCAGTGTGTGTACACATGAGCACACTGCCTGTACATGTGTACACTGTACAGAACAAGTGCATACATGTACATGTACCGGTACACATATACATGTACACTGTACAAATTCAGTACCAGCACATGTGTACATGTACATGTATGTGTTGCATGTCGGTTGAGTACAGACAGGCAAAACAGCCACTTAAGTGTCTTTCTCTTGGTTTCTCCTTTATCTGCAGTGTATACACAAACCAACCTACATTTCAAGTGATAGACAATACCTATGCAGTGCAGAATGGAGTTGTTTTTTATCTTATGAAATTTACATGTATCATTATGGCTGTACATGTACATGTACATACCCGGTACATGTATGTATACATGTATGTACATGTAGGCCTGGAATGAAAAAGTGCTTACAACACCTGCTGTACTTGCACTTGTGCAAACATGTGTAAATTGAACACCGTGTTCCCATTTGCTACATGTAATGTATATGATGTTAAGCTGAGGCTTTTATATATTGAATGCAGCATTTGACATGTGCATGTACCAGTATCTCAGATTGTGTGCATGAACAGGAACAGGTACATGTACTCGTACCTAATGTGTGTGCCGGGCAGTGCACACTTCTGTGGTGACAGTGCACTGAAAACAAAGGGTGTTCTGGCCAAGTCGCAAAACCATACACACAAAGTACAGGAAACAGCAAACTTCTTTAAGGATGAAAACTGTCAGATAATTTGTTCACGTGAAAAAGACATGCCTGTGGATGTACACAATATTTGTTCATGTGCTCTGGACCACGAAAAGACTGGCTCTGTTAACCAACACTGAAAATATCGTAAATGTACTGCACGTGTACATATCGCATACATGTATACAATGTATACATGTGATTTGGTCAATTTGGTTCTTTCTTTGGAATCTCAAAATACGGAGGGCCTGACGTTTCGATCCTAGCAGAATCTTTCTCAAATGCAAAATGACAAGTGGACAGGACAAACAAGCAAACATAGAATCAACTTTCTTTGGAAGACGGATCTACCAAAAATTTTAGTGTTGGCCAATTTCTAAATTGTTGTTCTCACTGAACTTGAGATTATTGGTGTGGCAGGAATTAAACTGTGAAATTGATAAATAATTACTGGTACTTGTCACCACAGCCAAAAAAGTGTCACTTTGCCCACCTTTGTACTGCCACCCACTTAAACCATCCATGGAGCTACATTACAGGCAGAACCATAGCTGACCTTGATTAAGAAGTGATTTTTATTTTTTATTCCATACTCCAATTTACCAATTTGAAAATATAATCCAAAAAATAAAAAATTGTGGCCTTGTACATGTATTTTTCACAATATGAGAAAGATAAGGGAAAATGTACTACTTTACCCAAGAAATAGAAACTAATCAAGATGATGTGCGTGTCAAAAATTGCATACGGTACATTTCCTGTATTGTCTGCAAAATGAAATCAGGATTTGGAGACTAGACAAAAAGGATTAGTTTTACTTTCAGGATTGGAAATGTCTGGTTTTGGTCCAGGACTCCAAGTGGCTCCCTTTCTCGCAAGGGTTAAAATTAATGGCTGTTTTATTTCTAATTTCCTGGAAAATTGTGCATATAGGCCGACACCAGAATGTACATGTAAAACTGAAGCACTTCACTCCATTTAAGTTCATTTTATTATGAATTGATAAGTGTTAATCATTCTTCAATGGTTTTTCCTCGTTTTTATTCTCAACAGTGTTATGTGCAAAGAATATCTCCAAGAAAGACTTTTTCCGTAAGTATTCCATTTTCATTCTCTTCATTCAAAGGTCGATTCCATTCCATGACAATAGATTCTTCTCCGTGGTGCCAGTACAATCAGTGTGTGTTCCTTGATGAGTCAGACTCCCTTGGTTTGACCGACTGTGGCAGAAGAATTGCGTTGACCATGATGGTCATGACCATCTTTAAGGAGACACAGTGACCACAGACTAGTCATGGTCACGGTTCATTTTACACCTAATCTCTGGCAGGGCTGCACATTCTGGTCAAACCTTTTGTTAACATTCAAGGAGAAAACAGTCGGTTAATTTTCTGTGGCTGCCCCAAGTTGTGGTGCAGTGTGCTGCTTTACAAAGTTATAAATACATGAAGGCCTAAGTAGCAAATGCTGGTATAGACTGCTGTATTTGGTTCTGTTTTATGGGAACCAGGAATTTCAACTACAGGTACATGTATATTGAAATTTTCAAGGCTTTTTACATTGGACAGATGCATGTATGAGTGGCAAACACTAGGGAGGATCACAATGCCTGCGTCTATTTTTTCTGCTGTGATATTATTGATTTATTCTGCAAAAATGATTCATCACTCGAAGGGCATGGGCAGAAGAACAAGACAACCCCTGCTGTTTGAAAAAAACCTTACTGTTTAAGTATTAAAAATAACCACTCAGCCATGCGGGCGAACCGGTTGTCCTGGCCAATAGAATATTCGGGACAGGTTAATTCCCACAGAAAATCACACTGCATACGGTTTGTCTGAACCGTATGAAATTGACCCAACTGTGACCTTTATTCAGGTCATCTCTGGGAGGAAAAATCACAGCACCTATGGCATGTACAGAGAAACTCCTAGTCCTTGCAGTGCATTGCTGGTGATTGCTGGTAAAGCCGGCTGTGAGAGGGCCTGTTACACTTACTGTAGATTCAATTTCATGGAGATTTTAGCATTGGAGTGCAGGGAGTTTACATGTACATAGCTTGATGAGCATGAATGCAGTGCATGTGCATATACATCTCTTTGTATGTACCGGTACCATAATACATGTATTTCCAAAATTTTCAGAATTTAGAGAAGGGCCAAATTGAAGTGGACATCAGCCACCGTTGTGTTGTTGAAATGATATGAGAACTCGTCTAATATGATCATTTCAGCAATAAATACATGTACACATACATGTACTGTACATTTACGCAAAATGCAGATAATCAGATATGATAATAATGTACTTGTATTCATAAAGCCTTGATGACATTGTGCACATGCACATGAAAATAATAAACTTAACCATCTGTTATGTATACATGTACATGTACATGTACATAATTCTGGACATGTGATATTGAACTACATGTATCACTCATGAGTAAGTCAAGATTTTTTACTGCTGGTACACGTACATGTACATCTATAGGAACAACACATGGATTGTGTGTTCTTGGTCTGGCCAGTCTGAATTACTGTATTTGTAAAAACCAAGGTGAGGTTGGAACCTGTTTTTCCAAAGAAAACAACTGAGCCATGGCATTATATTTTTGTTGATCAAGAAGTTTTTATAACAAGGAAATCAATTTTATAATTAATTTTTTTTTTTTAAATGCTAGCCAGGCATACGTGTACTGGTGTATTTTTTACTATAATTGATTGTTTGAATTTGTTTAACTATTCAGGATTGCCGGACCCATTTGCCAAGATTGTGGTCGATGGATCTGGACAGTGTCACTCTACAGATTACTACAAGGGTACTTTAGACCCAAAATGGAACCAACATTATGACTTGTGAGTGCTAAGATACATGAGGCTTTAATCACTAACGAACCTGTTTAACCTTAACTCCTTGATGCGTTTTTTGTTAACTCCCGGAACCTTATGTTCGAAAAAAATAATTTCACCACTTTGAGTTAACCCTCCTTTAATTTTAACTAAAAGATAGCTACAATCATTTTTTTAAAGAATACAAATCTTCAAAATGCACAGTACCTCAGTTAACCTTATTTTCTACTTTTGTTTCAAATGTTATTTATGCTAATGAATATTTCCATATTCATGAGCAAAATTGTGATATCTCAGCAAGAAGCCCCAATGTTACATGTACATTGGTTTGCACACAAAGTAGTCCTGTATTTTTGTACATTTTCCTGGACTCAGTTTTCTTTTCAATACTGATTCATGGTTGTTTATGTGCATAGCAATAAGAAAGCATCAATCCCCTTTTCAGAAATGTTTTCATTTGTACATTCCGGGTTTACAGTGTGAATAGAGACACCTGTGCACTGAACCATGTCTTTCTGAGATGACTTCACAGCATCATTGCCCTCAGTTGTCCAGGAAACCATGGATAATTTTAATTGTTCATGAACATGCATTTTTCAATGCATTTATCAAATAGGAAAGTCAAAGAGTTTTCATACATTGAAGAGAAATACAAAGTTGAAGAAAACCTGTGTCTAAGAAAAATTCATTTGCAGCTTCATGTACATGTATACATACTGGTACATTTAACTACCGGTATTTCAAGGCCTGATAATTTTAAGAGAATTTTAAAGGGAAGGACAACAACGCAAAATGCTGTTGTTGTGAATCACCAATATCAATCATTATACATGTACATGTATGTGCACATGATATATACATCATTGTTCAGTCAAATTTGGGTAACATACCGAATGCATCATTAGAGCTTGTGTGAGGATATGAATCACTAGTTCATGGAAACTGTTAATTGCTGAGAAAATGTTGGGTGTGCCTCTCATACCACTAGTCAAATTACACCTCTGTAACCACAAGCTGTTCAAAACCCCACTGGGAGGGCATGCTGGAATCGCTGATTCTCAAGAATTTCACACCAGTTGACATTGCGTTATTTTATGCCTTTCAATCATACATGTATGTCGTTCATACTAGACGAAGCCCCACATTTCAACTCATCAATCAGTTCATTTTCAGCCTTGACAGTATTCTCTGGCTTTGCAGCCCAAACACATGCCAATATGTATATTATAATACATCTAAAAGTATCTCAACATTACATGTAATTATCTTCTTTTTTCTGCAATCCCCTCTCTGTATACCAGATTTATAGGTAAAAATGACAGCATAACTATCAGCGTGTGGAACCATCGGAAGATCCACAAAAAGCAAGGGGCCGGATTTCTTGGCTGCATCAAGATTCTATCCCATGCAATCCAGAGACTTAAAGATACAGGATGTAAGTTGCTGATTTATTGTTGGCATCTGTATCTTTGTTGGCATGCAGAAAACTATTAGCGTGTACCAGTATATGTTTGTACTTCAAAATTTCAAGGGGGGCCTGGCTTTAAAGTAATGGCTTGGCTCTACATGCCTCCACCCTTAAAATCGGCCAAGTTACTTGGTAGATTTTGAAGTACCGGGTATCTCAGAAGATTGCAGTTGCTGTAAATGCAGTCTGTTGCTGTCTTGACTAGACACATGTATCAGGGAGTCAAAAAGTATAGTGGTTGAAAATGGACAAAACTAGTCATATCACCAGGTGTGTAAAATGAAATGTTGGATTGACTGCATGTACATGTAGTATGAGAGTCTTTCTTCCAACAGTGATATTTGTTAAACATCACCTAAGCCCCTTAACATGTACTTTAGCTTTCAATTTTTGCAGTTTTTTATTTTTGGTTTCTGTTTTGTATCTTGGTTTTACCAATACACATGTTGCTCCAGTGTACATGTAGCACTGCATTACTTCCATATCTTTAATAATAAAATCAGTCCCTGTGCACATGTGGCAGACATTTTAAAGTACATTGCCACCCTGCTGAAACACAATAGTATAGTGTCTGAGGGGGTTTGGCATCCGTTTATACAATATGTCCGTTAGATGTGAACTTTCCTGAATTGTTGATGTCATTTATCATCGTGGTACTTGTACTTTCCACATTTGGTGCTCAGATAAGAATACTTTGGTTGTCACAATTGCAGAACAAGCACGTGGAGGTACCCTACCTGTACGAGTTCAGTATTTCATGTATGTACGGTACAGTGTACTGGTCGGTACATGTATGTGCACATATGGATGCATTAGAGAGAACCACTTGAGTTTTTTTGCTTCAGTTTTTCCACAGCATGGTTCATGTTGGCATGATTGGTTTGGGCTGTGCATATACATGTACAATACATGTACAATGTGTAATTTAAAGTACTGGTACATGTACATGTTCAATGTACAGTGTACCGTAGTTTCCTCTCGGCCTTTATCCTAACCCACCTCAGTCCTCCAAAATCCTCAAGGTGGTTTTGGAGGAATTCGGAAGATTCAGTATAAATGATGATACAAACACTGGAGGATTTTGGAGGATTGAGGATGAATAGTAAGTGAAATATGGAGGATTTCGGAGGATTGAGGATCAATGTTGATTTAAAATCTGAGGTTTTTGGAGGATTGAGGTTGAATGTTGAATGAAGTACATATACTGTATGAAAAATCAGTTACATAGTGGTGCATATGGTGACACATTATACTGTTTACAATATACATGTACCGTACCCAAGAACAGTGTGTTCCATTGTTCACTACCTCTGGTTATAAATTATACAATCCTCAACTGCAGTGTGTTATTAAAACAAAGGCACATGTCTGCTTTGTTGATTACAAAAGTAAAGCCATGAGCCAACTCTACCAAAAAAAAAAACCCACCAGCTTCACCCCATCAACCAACCTGATGTGCCCAACCCTCCCTCCTTCCTCCCCAAAAAACCAAAGTAGGGCCATGGAGGATTTTGGAGGATTGAGGATTTAGGAACCTTCCATTTTGTGCATAAGCAATACAAAAGGATTGGAGGATTGAGGATGAATGCAGTTTTTGAAGTTGGGCAACTAGAGGATTTGTGGGAATTGAGCATGTGCCCTAGTAAAAAGACCCTAGCAGGTTAGGGTTAAGTTTCTCATCAAGAAAGCTTTGCAGTCAAATTGTGTCTGACCAAAAAAAACTACAAGAGCATATACAGTAGCAACATATACATACCGGTGTATAATACATGTACCAAATGCATGACATGCTGCTTTCACAATGGTGGATCAAAACCCAATTAATCCACTTAAATTCCTCTCTTATATTCAGTTCAAAAGTAAATGTCTAATTTGACTTCGCTATCAACATGAACCCAAAATTAAATGTTTGCAGTATGGAAACTACATGTACATGTAGTCCTGACATGTGCAGCTTTTTAAAGAGCACCTCTAACGTTCTCTGATTTTATCTGTTCAAATAAATATGGAACCATCCCAATCGAACACAGTGTCATTTGTCTTCAGAGCTCAGCTTACCACTGTAACAGATTTAAAAGGGCTTTTTTTCTGTTCATGCCAAGATGCGAATTCTGAAGGTACATGTAGATTGTATCATTCTGAGAAAACAGAGAAAAGGAGGGGAACCCTCACCCTTTGTGCGTAGTGGATAAACTCTGTGCTTGCCAAATAATGCGTGTAGCCATTGTTTGGCATGCACAAGGGTTTGTCCACTACGAACACAGGGCAAGGGTTCCTCTTGTTTTCTCCGAATGACACAATCTACACTCAGCATTTGCATCTTGGCATGAACAGAAAAAAGCCCTTTTTAACTTGTTATAGTTGAGCTCTGAAGACAAATGACACTGCGTTTGATTTGGATGCTTCTATATTTTTTTTTTTTAACAGATAAAATCAGAGAAAACATGTTTTCCTTAGAGGTGCTCTTTAGAGAATGAAAACTGCAGGAGGCTTTAGCTTGCAGAGGCATGCATGCAAACATTGCAGTTGTTGTGAATGGTTTAATAATATTTCATGCACATGTGAGTAAAATGTGGAGGAAAATATTGGTTTGAACTTTTATTGAAAATGTACATGTGGCCCCAGACACTTAGAAATATGTCACTTTCTTATTTACTTACATGTCTTTTATGATAGCCATCCACAAGAGTTTTTTTGCATTGAAATTTATATTTCATTTTGCCCATCAAGATTGCTCATTGTCTGTACCCCAGCCTTTGCACTATGTAAATCCTGGTCCACTGGCATAGTTTCCCTGAAAGTGCATCCACTTGACTCGAGGAGACCCTTCCAAACATTCACCACATTCTTGCTGCATTAATGGCCACCACTCAGAACACACGTAAACAGTAGTGTGGCCATCAGTGTAAATGCTCATTGATTATGACTTCTGTGTTGAGACTGCTGATTATTATTGGCTCCAGTGATTCATCCACTGTGAGCAAAAAAGTGCAATTCTTGGCACCAACTGTCCGCAGGAAGGATAGCGTTTCTGCCACGTGACCTGTTGTGTTGACAAGGGGAGCAATTTCAAGTCGGTAGTGAGAGGCAGAATGTTGAAACTGATGTGGAAACTTTTCTGTTTGTCTGCTCACATGTACACATACATGTACATGTATAAACTAGGTTGCCGGCACACTGCCAAGAAATTGTGTGGGATCTGAGGCAAAGAAATGGGGGAACCTGACTCAAGGTTTATTTGTTGTGCTTGGACATGCGTACACTTCTAGCTTTACAATAATTTTACCAGTAAGCTTTATAACATTCCAGTAAGCGTTCATGTATGAACATGCATCCTCATCATTGGAAATTAATCTTTTTGACTTGTTACATGTACATGTAATGTACCTGTATACCTGTCCAAAATATATTCGTACATTACCTGCCTTCTCTATAGCACACATTAATTAATACTCATGCACCTGTTTGGTGAAGGGGCTTGTTTGACTCTTTTCTTTTTACCAGTACTGCAGCAAACAATGTTCCATTGTGCAAAAGTGTCAATGACTTATTTCAAATGTGAAATATTTTCTTGGAATGAATCATGCAGTTGTACACTCAAGGTATTCTGTTGTATGCGGGCTGTCTAAAGGTTGGTTTTCAGTTTCAATATGAGCTGTAAACATTCTTTTGAGTTTTCTTTCTGTTTCCAAATCAAGGGCTACATGTACCTTGGATATTTTGTGTTTGAACATAGCATATCGGGGAAAACTTCAGCCTTTATAAATGAATTAGAAATTAATAAATATTTATCACCCTCCTATGATGAGCCAATGTTCATAGATGATGGCCATGCCAGGATTGTCAAAATAAGCCTCCTAACACCAAGATTTCCATGAGCGTTGTTGGAATAATTATCTTTTGGAGCTTAGTGCAATACCTGTATGGCATGCCTAATCACAACTTTATAACATGACCTTTACAGTTCTTGAATGAATAATCAAAAGGTATTTTCAATTTGTGTCAGTGAAGATGATGAGTCTGGCTGATATTTCCAGCCGGTGAATTTGCTAATACTGAGGGGCTTTCATAATATTAGTCTAATTTCCTAGAAGGGTTATGAGGTAATTGAAATGTCTAGACTGGGTGCCGCATGCAGTTTATCAAGATACTGTATGTAATATGACAACACAGAGCCCCTTTACCGGTACATCAACAGGTTTTGCACTAATATTTTAGCAACATCTTCAGAAATAACTTGCCTAATGGATGCAGAGTTGGGGCACTTTGGGTTTTTTTTGTTTTGTTTTTTTGAGTAGCATGGAAATATTATAATAAGGGAGGCCCATGCATTAACACAATAACTGTTGTTCAAGCAAAATACTGGTAGAGTGTGTTGTGAGGAAAGTACTTTCCATTCAACTGCAAATATATGTAAAATGTGGAAGGAGAATATAACTTTGACTTTATGCAAGTGATGGAAAGGCTGTTGATTTTGAAATACTGGTAGACCTGTTTGAATATAAGGATTTTTGGAGTAATTTTTTTTTATCAGATCAAGTTCAGTACATCCGAATTTTAATGAGTTATTTTAAAGAAAGGCATTTAACAAGAAGTTTTAGAGTTTCAGCCTGGAAGATTCGTCCTGTCCAACCTCAGATTTATTGTATTGTTGATCCTTCACTGCAGACCAAAGATTGGATCTCTGTAAACAAAATCCTGATGACAATGACAACATACGGGGCCAAATCGTCATCAGTATCACATCAAGAGACAGAGGGTTGGCTACAGGGAGCAGTGCTGTGGTAGACTCCAGGAGTATTGCACCTGCGTTGCTGCCAGCGGATCCCAACGAACTCCCGGAAGGGTCAGTCTTTGCTGTTTCTTCTGACGTTTTTTTCCCCTGAACTTCTGGTCAGGTATTTTGCATTTTTGGGAAAAAACATGTAAAGGACACTTCTCTCTGGTCATCATTGCCATTCTCATCATTCTCTCTCTCATTCTCATCATTGCCATTTATATACAAAATGGGTGCACAAAAATTAATTGCCTAATATAAGAATTAACAAAACAGAAATTTACCAAAAACTTACTCTATTTCTTCAATTTGTCTGGCAATGTAAGACTGTAGTAAGTGCAGGTTGTGACCGTCTGGTGTCTGACCTTAAAGAGCACGTCTAAGGAAAACATGTTTTCTCTGATTCTGAATCTCAGATAAACGAATGCAACCCTCACCGTGTGTTGTACAATGCATGTAGCCATTGTTTGGCATGCACAAGGGTTTATCCACTATGAACACAGGGCGAGGGTTCCCCTCGTTTTCTCTGTTTTCTTCGAAGGACGCAATCTACATTTAGAATTCGTATCTTGGCATGAACAGAAAAAAAGCCCTTTTTAGCTTGTTATACATGTAGTTAAGCTCTGAGGACAAATTACACAGCATTCAATTTGGATGCTTCCATATTTATTTGAACAGATGAAATCAAAGAAAACATGTTTTCCTCAGAGGTGCTCTTTAATGTGCTTGTTATCTGACTTGGCAAGAATTCTGGTATTGTTATTGAAATGTTAGGTTCTTGCAAGATTCAGACTTGTTAACATGGCCTTGGGGGAGAAAGCTGAAAGCAGCTCTATGTGTGTCATCAGGTTGTCCTTTCAACCTGTATGTGGTTTCCATGATTGATGAGTTGAAAAAATCATTTGTCTTTCTTTGGTCTAGATGGGAAGAGAGAACATCAACATCGGGTAGAGTGTACTTTGTAAATCATATTACAAGAGCGACACAATGGGAGAGACCAACAAGGTAAACAGTGAAACAATTCTCTCTTGACTATGTTGTCTCCGAATTTTGCTTCAGTATTTAATCCATTTTTTATGTAATCATTGGCAGAGGAAGGGAAACTTTTTTCCACCCCAACTTCTTGAAAATTATATAATTTTGTCCCCACTTCACATGTACATTTCACCCTCCAAAATCATTCCACCAGCTCTGTCCAGGAGGCTTGCGTCACATTAAGCATAAAAACTATGACGAATCATCCCAGCAAAAGATCAAAGGACTCTGAAATGTGTGCAGAATTATTGAAACCTATCCTCTTTGCTTTGTAACCGAAGTATCACCTTGTCATTCTCAACTGGTCATTTGCAGATGACACTGGTTAAAATCCACATCTTCTGTTTTAATGACCCACTCTGAAAAGGTGAAAGAACAAGGTAGCCCACTCCCAACGACACCATTAACGAATGCCCTTAGAAATTGTACTGCATGAGTTCTTTCTACCAATTAAAATTTGTGTTATCACTTCTCCAGTTACTGGCATTTTACGGCATATTCTGTTCATGTCGGTACATAAGTACATGTACATGTATAGAATAGCCCAGTTTAATACAAGTACGCAAAACAGGAAAGACTTGCCTTTAAAACAGTTTGTGGCTACTGTTGACGTCAAGTCAGCAGTAACTTGTGGCCGAAGGGACTGCACATCTGCAAAGCTCACCTTGTTACTGGAAAAATAATCACCTGCAAGGACATGGGAATCATTAACCCCAGACAAGGATCATTTTCAATATCTTCTTACTTATTGGAAGTGCGTATTGCATTAAAGGTCTTCATCAGATGTGTACAGCATACACGTGTACAGTACCGGTAGTACATGTACATGTACGTGACTTAGTATGACACAGAGTATACCATCCATTATTTAATGGAGGACACCAAAGCCATTCTTGGCGCCGGTAACACATTACCTGCATGAATATTGATGCTCATCTCTGGCTAATGACTTTAATTTGGGGGCAACTCTTTATTGAAATGAGGTAATTATAGCATTAATGTGTACATGTACATCAGTATGTTTACCGTTTGGAGCACATACCTGTACATTTTTGCAAGTGTTTTCACCATGATATTGTACTGTAGGCTTTTTATGCATACATGTAGACGTTATGCCCTTTACTAAATGGCACATTTATACATTATACATGCAATCTTTCCTCTCTCTGGTCCTTTGGCACTTGGTTCTTCATGAGCTTATGGAAATACCCATGATGCCCTAGGAACTGGCACCTCTGTCATGTACAATGTAGGACATTTGCATTTTTGCAATCATGACTTACACGGCACACAAAATCATTTTACTTGGAAAACAGTAAGGTGTGCAGGTAGTCAGACATACATTTAACAGCCATAAGGCAGTACACTTAACCTGTAATCAAGAGTGACAAGGTGCCTGTGTGTGTCGAGCATGGTCAATTTTGGTTTGTTGTTTTGTCATTGTTGAGAAAGAAATGGCCACTTCAGAAAGTGAGATATGGTGATTTCAATCCATTTGTCCAAACTGTTTTGACGGGGAAGTTTTTAGCAATCTGAAGCTTTTATTTTTTTCTGTCACACAAAAAAGACCTGCCTCAGAAAGTGCCGGTTCCAGCAGAGCCAGTCGTAATAGTCCACCACTATCAGGGTCAGAGGTCAATGGGCGTGGTCGGCCTGTCTCATGCAGACGAGGTGACCGAAGTGAAGAGAGTACTAGCATCTCGGGTGATTCTTCTAGTTCATCAAGTAATGCTCTGTGCAGAAGGCAGTCCTCGAGATTACGTAACTACATGAACAGGTCCACATTGCACCAGTGCCGAGAACTTCCAGAGGGCTATGGTATGTTTTGGGTATTGAGCAACCTTCAATTATCCTTTCTTGTAATTAAGATAAAATGTTTTTATCAGACAGTCGTGAATCCTACAGTTTTAACAGAAATTTCATTCAGTCAAAGAAATTGGTGATGTGCATTTGCATGTATTATTCAAATGCAGTTGAAACAAGTGCTTTTCAGAGCTTTTAAAAGTAGTTAAAAATTACCATCTTTGCAGTCAATGTACATGTAGGTGTACATTTTTTGGATGTATTAGAATGGATGTATTTGGATGTATTGAATGAAAGAGCAAGTGTATTAAGCAAGGCTTAGGCAGCTATTTTCTGAGTAGTATTTTTGGCAGCTTGTGTTTTATTGGAATTAAACTTGGTTTTTGAGTTGCTAGCACTTCATTGAAATTGGTGTGAAACTTTTAATTAAAAAAATGACCATAACTCAATTGAAACTTCTAATATTATTGCAACTCTGACAAACAGGAAGCTGTCTTCAGCAGACCTTGTGAGTTGAACATTTTGGAAAAGCCATTCATCCATGCCAAGTCCTAAATCATATTCACCTGTTTCATTCACCATTATTTACAGAGCAAAGAACCACAGCACAGGGCCAGGTGTACTTCCTTCATTCGCAGACAGGAATTAGCACATGGCATGACCCGCGATTACCTCGAGATTTTACCATCAACGAAGCTGATCTAGGGACAATGCCGCCAGGCTGGGAAGTCCGACACACTCCCACAGGAAGGGTCTACTATGTAGACCATAATAGCAGAACCACGCAATTCACCGACCCAAGACTAGACGCTAATATAATCAATCGGGCACTCAACAAGTGAGTCAAATAAAGCAGTCCCAGACGTGTTTTTATCAGTTCTTTTTAGTACAGAAGAATTAAGACACTAATTGTAGACAAAAAGTTCCCAAATCACCCAGAAACTATGAAGATTGCACTTTTTCTTCGTTATGCAGTCTGCTTCAAAAAAGCCTATTTCTAAGGAATTTTCAAGAAAAAATAATAATTGTATCAAGTACCAGTTCCATGAATGCCGTCCCTTCTTTAAGCACAGCATATACAAGCAAGAATGAACAGATATTCAAATATATCTTTACTATGATTTATCTGTGGAATGATGTAAGAAGATTGATTGAAGGGAGATACGAAAATTTGGGGGGTTTTTGACACACATCAAAGAGAAAGGAGTTGTAACTGGATGACTGCATGTCATCGTGTATTATCTGAAATATGGGTTGATACATGTATCTGTGTTATTTTTCCCTTCACAAGTTTCTGTTTGTAAGCCTGTGTGCTTAGTCCCTTGTAAATGTTTGTGAGGAATAATACATTTACATGTTTCCAACTGAATTAGTTCTTGGAGGCGTGAGTTTCTTCAGTGAATCCGAAGAATTCCATTGTTTCAAAATATTCCTGTACAAAGCTTTCATTTACAGAGTTAGTGAGGATAACAGTCCATTTTCATTAACTAAAAATTGATAATTTTTACAGGACCAATGGTAATTTGGAGACAACGCAGGCACCAAAGTACACTAGAGACGTTGTGCAGAAACTGAAGGTACTACATGCAGAGCTCTCATCACTACAACCACAGACAGGACATTGCAGATTGGAAGTTTCTAGAGAAAACATCTTTGAGGTGAGGATTTAAAGGTGGGAAGGGCATGACTTGAAAGAAAAATGAACGGCCAAAGGCAATAATTCACAAAGAGTTTTTTGTGAGACAGTTTAAAGTGGTGTTTTCTTGCCCTCAGTGCAGGATTATACTGTCATTAATAATGAATGGCTATTAAATATTTATCGCCCTTTCCACCTGAAACATCAATTACTAATCTGTCAGTTTGTGCTGATGTTCTCATGTTGATAAATTTTAGTGTTCCACAAAATGAGAAAAAATGTATGTGTGTATCGCAGTCACAGGTTACTTTAGTAATTCATTTGCATATGTAATGAGAAACAGTTCCACCAGTAGATAAATATACATGATTCCTCTCAGAATCGATAAACAAAGTGAAAATTCAGCTGAAACACAGCAACAGATTGTATGAAAAAATGTATAGCATTAATACCAGACAGACGAAATACACGAATGGCATGACACATCTGACATCTGATAACCATCACCATATGGCTGGGTGGAAGTCTGTAGAGAACGCCTCAAGGTTCATGAGAGGGAGATAAAAGGAGAGGAAGGAAAAACCGTCATGTACGTGTACATCAAGCGATTCTTTGGCTGTCTTAGTCCAGAATTAAAGGGTTTTTTTCACCAATTTCTCTTAATACCACACACACACTGCTTATCATGTAATGTAATGTGACCAATTTGTTGATCAAATCTTGTTTTCTCATTGGAAGTCATTTTTAAATTTATATAAGAAAATATATCAACAGTGCTAAATCATACTTTCCAGCTCTGTTGAAGAATTCAGAAATTAATTTACTAGATGAAATTTTGATGTATTTTGCCATGAATAGTATAGGTAAGCTGTGTGCACATTTCCTTTAAAACCTCACTGGTTAAGTGTAAAAAACATGAATTCAGTAACTGTAGCTAACTGATAAACTTCCTGAATCATCTCTCCTTCCATTTTGTTATTTCAGGAACCACACGGTCACTCCTTTTTGAAACAATATTTAATTTGTGGCCAAACGTGGAAAATTGTACTGAATTTTCTTGGTTTATCCCTTGTGTCAAAGGAATCATACAGACAAGTCATGAAGATGAAGCCCAGGGACCTCCGGAAGCGACTAATGATCAAATTCAAGTCAGAAGAGGGCCTGGACTATGGGGGTATCGCCAGAGAGTGGCTATACCTCCTCTCCCATGAGATGCTTAACCCGTACTATGGTCTCTTCCAGTACTCCCGAGATGATATTTACACACTTCAAATCAATCCAGACTCAGGAATCAACCCGGTAGGTTGCATTTTCTGGAAGGGCAGAATGAAGAACAAAGTGGGAGCCGGGCTAATTTCTGAGGTTTGCTTAAAGTTAAAGAAAATGGTGAAATGAAACTTGAATTTTTTTTAACCTTTGCGGCATTTCTTTTTCACATCAAAATCACCTGTTCCTTTCCAAGGTTTTGTTACTGATTTTTGGAATAAATTAACAGGTTGAAATGAGTTTGTGACTGGCTAGGCTTATGTTCCAATTGTATTTGTTGTTAAGCTATCTATGACTTCCACCAATTATCAAACAAGAAAACTCTTTAAAATAGCTTAAAGTTCCAATATATAGCAACCCGTGACCTTCAAATTATAGTGACTAACACCCAAATTACCCCAAAGTTCTGTCAGGCCAGTAATTTATTTCCTAGTCCTTTTCTCCTGCAGGAACATTTGTCATATTTCCATTTTGTGGGGCGTATCATCGGCATGGCGATCTTCCATGGTCACTACATAGATGGAGGCTTCACAATGCCCTTCTACAAGCAACTCTTAGGAAAGCCTGTTAGTTTAGAAGACATGGAATGTGTTGACCCTGAAGTCTACAGAAGTTTAGTCTGGATGCTGTAAGTTCAGTCATATCATTCATTTTTACACATAAGTTTTCATTGTCCTTTTAACCACTTTCTGCCAGTTGTAAGTTGCCTGTGTGGGATGAGTTCCTGGGGAATTTTCAAGATTTTCTGTTTTCAATATTCTTCAAAAATTCATTACTTCATTTACTGGACATTTACACCCACATGAATGACTGTCTGGTGGCTACTCTAATCTGACAGGCACCTCCACTGATGCCCGAGTATTTCAGCCAGGCCTGCCGCCTAGTAAAGAGAGCCCAGATTGTGCGGTGTTGCATAATTTCCTTTGTTCCCGAGATTAGCCAAGTGCGTTGAGGAATGCTAGTGGCATCCTTTCAGATGCGGCCGGATTAGCGTACAGCTGTATTGTTTCACTCATTGCTGGAGCTCTTTTGTCCCCACTAAAAATCCGCTGGCAATGAATGCCACAAACAGTGGTATGCTGTTTCAAAACAATGACGGATTACCTCCACTAATGCCAACTGAAAAATGATGGCAAATCTCAACAGCTTGGTCTTTTGTTCCGAGTACATTCTTTTTTACAATGCCCAGCTCTTTTGTCCAATTTCGGGTACTCTGTACTATGCGTACAAACCCAAGGTGCCCGGTTCCAGAACCTCGGAGACAATATATATTGATATATATATTGAGATATCTAGAATATCAAAGTATTAAAAAGGTTAAAAAAATATGTATTCCCATAAAATGCAGTTTGTGGTATTTTTTCAATGATGAGGTTCCTTTAAGATACAATTTATATGATATCGTCCTGAAGGACGATTTTCAACCCCTAAGCACAAGCATTCCTGCTGTTGTTTTTTTAATTATTGTGGGTTACATGTATACTTGTCTTAGTCTTACAAATTTAGCAAACATAATGTTTGCGTATGAATTACATATATCCACAAGTATACTGGTACTCCAGATGCTGTATTACGGCATTTTTCTATTGGCCATTCTTTGAAGTTATTATCACATCATGGGTCATCATGAAGAATAATTTTTCCAGACCATACTTCCAACATGTGAAACTGAAATTCTTCTCCTTGCCAATGTTGATCTAAAGCGATGCTTGATGGTGAGCTGCTCAGATGTCTCAAGAAAAACAAGGAAAGAATGCCAACTGTTAAAATCTTGTGTCATCTTGAATTCACAGATTAACAATTATTTTCAAGACCTCACTTCAGTTACCAGTTTGGAAAGTGAAATATTGTATCAAAACTGAGTCAAGTTGACCCCTTAACAGACGGACCGACTGTAATTACATCAAATGCTGGGTTTTTTTTTCCTGCAGTGAAAATGACATCACAGGAATAATTGAGAACACATTTGCCGTGGAGCACTACAGCTTTGGGCAGATGCAGACTCATGACTTGAAGCCCAATGGCAAGAACATCCCAGTCACAGAGGAGAACAAGAAGGAATATGTGAAGTAAGTCAACATGTGGATCACCAGAACAAAACGATTTCTTGAGAACTGCCTGAGCAGAGTTTCTCCTTAGTTTCTCCTGATTTTTACACCCCTAGCAGTGGAGTCTGTAGCTTTGTGAAGGTGAAAGTATTTTCATTTAGATCAACCACTACATGCCTACAAGCTGTGTTGATGTCTTGGATTACAAAACCCCCGTTAAAGGACTGACTCACTCTTGATGTAATAACCCAGTGGCAAGAAAGAGGCCATACTTTCAAGCATGAAGAAAACAAACTGTAACTCCTCCAGTTCCACAAACATGATATCCTGGGTAGACCTACCAAATCATTATTTAAAGATCTTTTAATTTGGGATATCCTGGGCAGTGTGTGTGTGTGTACAAGAGCTCAAATCTTGTGCAGCATACATGGCAATGACAGCGCTCATGAATTTCCTGTTGCATTACCTCAACAACATCAACTACTCCCATGTCTTTGAAAAAAAGGAATCCAGGCTAAATTCAGCAGTTTTTTTGCAATATTGAAGGAAGTCTTTTATAACAGGTCAGGCTCAATAAAAATCTCTGTTTTATGATCCATCAGTGAGAATAGTCATACGTAAAAGTGTCGGCTGAAAGTTACCAAAAATTCAAGTCTTGGTCTTTCCTCTGACCAGCGCCACCAATGGGGTGAAACGCAATCTCACAAAAAGACTTTCATACACACATACAGTATATCAGGTGTGTGTCTTAAGAGCAAAGCACCAGTGAGCCTACCGGTATCAGGGTTCCAGCTGACACATTGCAGAAACTAGCCAAAGCTTGAGCTAAAAAATGCATGTTTTAGCTGCCACAGAAATTTTTACATAGTGCTATTAAAACATTTTCCTGCCAACTGGTCCTTCCAAATTTGTAGATATTTGCTATTTGGTGGCAGATACGACTAACAACTGGAAACCTGTGGTATGATATTCAAACTGCTAGTTATCAAGGATGTTTACTCATAATGTCTTGGTGTTTTGAACTTAGATTGTTTGTACAGTGGCGGTTTCTGAGGGGGATTGAGCCACAGTTCCTGGCCTTACAGAAGGGCGTCAACGAACTGATCCCACAACACCTGCTGAAATCCTTTGATGAGAGGGAACTAGAGGTAAATGTTGTGCCAAACTCCACCTGTAAAGATTCAGCTTGATCTGGGAACTAGGTTTTCCCAATTTATTTTGTTTGCCATGGATAGATTAGTTTAATCAGTTGCTTTAAAATGTACGTGTAAAAGGTACATGTATAATTTTGTGGAGTTCCGTTTATTTCATTTTCACAAGCATAGTTTGCTGGTCATAGGTTAGAAGTAGTTTGAAACATCGCTACCAAAAGACCAGTTTTATTTAGTTCTGCATTTTAGTCCATCTGTCCATAGTGTTGAAGTCCAGACAGTGATTCACTCTCCTCTGATATTCGCTCTCTGTTCTAATGCTAAATGGTACATGTAGTTGACTAGACATTACTGCCTATTCACGAAATTGTGCAAAAACAAAAGTTTTGCAAGTACTGTATTATTTTTGAAAACATTTAATATAGCCAGTGCAATTTTTCCCTGACTTTAACTTGTTTTTTTCTCCTTCCCTGTTCCCTGTTTTCTTCTAGTTATTAATCAATGGTCTGGGCAAGATTGACCTGGAAGACTGGAAGAACAACACGAGGCTGAAGCAGTGCAATCAGGAAAGCAACATAGTTATATGGTTCTGGAAGGCCGTCAACACATTCGATGAAGAGAAGAGAGCAAGACTACTACAGTTTGTAACAGGGACCTCCAAGGTACCCCTGCAGGGTTTCAAGGCTTTGCAAGGTTAGTGTTCCATGTGAAACAGTACATCTGCACACTGAACCGATAATAGTGTGCTCATGCAGCCGCCAAGAATCAGACTTCTTGTAAATGAATCAGACATCCTCTTTTTCCTTTGATCCACAGATTTCCTCAATCTTGCTTTCAATTTATTTTGCCAAAAGTGAAAATGGCAGAAGACGGTTTTCTGATTTATTTTCCTTAAAGTTAATCATAGGGCTGAGTCAATTTGAATAAATCACTATTCAAAATTTGACTTTCAATTGAATATCCGAATATTTGGTCGTACCAACCAGCAGATTGTTGATGAACAAATCATATACAAAATCAGGTGCACTAACACACACAATTGTACATTATAATCACTCTAATAGCTTCTCGCATGTAGGAGTATCTCCAGCCAGGATTTAGCAAGATTTATGAGATAAACAATACTTCTTGTCTTGTTGAAAATTCTTATTCCTTTTAAATTATTTAATGAATAATTTACTTTTTGAACTGTTGTAAGATTTCTGTTGCTTTTCATTTGAATCTGCTTGAAATAAGCATCCATATTGCAATTTTTCTCACTCAAAACAAAAGAAAATTTTCCCTTCCTTTTCTTGAATTCTGAATTAGAATTTTCAAATTCGGACAATAATATTCGAATATTGATAATTGATCGAATGTTCGGATATTCAGTACAACCCTAGTTAATCATAAATTATACAACTGCTCCGATATAACTGCTTCTGGCATAGTTCCAAGATGTCTATTTTTATTAAAATACCAGCCCAGTTTTATCTGAAGGCTAAAATGACTTCAGGAATTTGAACAACGAATGATGCAACACAGAACCCCGCTCTCTTTCATACAGTGTATATGGAACTTTCACTCAACTAGACGGGTGTAAATAGTGGTTTACTGGTACAGGTGCTATTTCTTTCCTAGGCTCAACTGGTGCTCCAGGTCCACGACTCTTCACTATTCATCAGATAGATGCTAGTACAAATGATTTGCCCAAGGCTCACACATGGTAAGTCAACTACACCAGCTGTGGTTGTTTATCAGTCTAGTTAAAAGTTTGTCACAAGTCAAGTTCTGCAGTATTTTAAGCAGAAATCTCTCTATTCTCTTTGTGGTATGTACAGCTGCTAAGACTGAAATTTGGCCAACTTGCAATCCAATCATTCCGAACTACAATAGGTCTGGACAATGTGAGCACTGACTGTTGATTTAATAGCCACTTGGATAATGAACATCTTGAAAATGTTAGATATCTGCAGCAGTTGGCAGGATGTTGACCAAATCAAAAATCATTCACTCCTTTATTTTGCCCTAAAATCAATGGAAGAATTTTAAAAAGATTTCTTTCAAGGAAGCATTATTCATATTTGATGTCCTAGGATTTTTTATAAAGGAACATCATCTCCCTTTTCCCACAGTTTCAATCGGCTAGATATACCACCCTATGAGTCCTACGAGAAGTTTCTAGAGAAACTTACATGCGCTATCGAGGAAACATGCGGATTCACAGTCGAGTAGAAGTTTGTAACTGAGACATCACTGTGAGAACCCACAAACAACTCCAATTACTTGAGCCAAGGCTGATATGTATCCGGATATGTGATGATAGAAGCATTGGAAGAAATCCAGACAATTCCATACTGTACTGTTTGCCCTGTTTTCAAGCGCTGCATTGGGAAACTCTCCAGTTACTTGAGCCAAGGCTGATATGTATCCAGATATGTGGTGATTAGAAGCATTGGAAGAAATCCAGACAATTCCATGCTGTACTGTTTGCCCTGCTTTCAAGCGCTGCACTGGAAGATTCTTGAATCAACCACAAAAAAGTCTGTGTGTCATCATAAGAACACATTAAGGGATACAGCCGTATTGGATATTTTGATTTGTCACTTAATTAGCGATACAAATCGAGCCTGGCAGATGTTCTCAGTTTGCATTTTACGTCTTTGAATAAATATCTTGGACTGACCTCACATTGCTCTTGACAGAGAATTTAAAGCCACTCAGTAGTTTCTGCTAACTTGAGCAAATTTCATAGCGAAGATGCACTAATGCATGCACACACATGGAGGTTTCTAAATCCTTAAACTGTGCCTTTGAAGTAAGCTTGCTCATGGCTGAATACGTACAGTATGAAGTGTATGCAGATTTGATAGATGGAAGGAGTGTGTCATGAAGAAGTGTCATAAAACGGGCATTTCTAAATTAAAACATGCTGAGCTAGTTGCTTTCAATCATTACTTCTTGCTGAAACTAAATATCAACAACACGCCTGTTTGAAGCACTGTTCTCTGAATCGAGTGAGTTTTTTCCTCAGGTGAGCTGACATCATCAACAATTTCAAAGCTCCAAGTCAGTGAAAAGAAGTAGTCAGAAAAGTTTGATAGGGTTTATCAAATTTGACAAACCTGAACCTTGATGTAAAGACAGTGGTGCTCATGTCATCTGTAAGATCAGATGAAAACCTGGTCCCATCATCATAATAAGCTAAATGTAAATAGCGGGGTACCACATTCTGCTGTCTTACTGACTTTTTATTATCCTTTGGAAATGACTTCAGTCAGTGGAAAGAGGTTTGTATTTATTTATTGGAATTTGTATTTATTTGTAAGATACCTAACATGATTGATGAACACATCCCGTAGCATAACAATATCACGGCATTGGACTCAAAGAGTAAAAAAATACTGTTTTAAATGTAACAGTATGTATATACATGTACATGTACAGAAGTAAAGACTGTAATGTCACGTTTATGAGTAAGAAGGAAAAAAAATCATATTTGTAACATCACAGTTAACTGCATGATTGTAATTAATGCAGAAGTCCAACTGCAGATTTGCATATTCCACATAAAATTGCTGTCATGTTGCTTCATCATAGAAACCAGTTCCTTTTATGTGTACATCCGGTATTTCAATTGCAGAATATTTCACATTTATGCCTTTTTTTGTCGGATAATAGTGAATGAAGTGGTAGTGAACCTGACGTTAAAGCATGGGTGATAGAGTTCCCCAACCTCCCTCTGGAGACCAGAGACTCTCTGGGTGTTATTGGTTCAGAGCAGAGACTATGAAAGGTGCTACATGAAATACTCCCAAGTATGAGATCCAAGACAAGTCATTTTTGAATCACCAGGCTAAGGCTTGGAGTAGTACACGTCTGTGGCCTGCAGCTGCAAGCCACTTCCTTCCATGGCCGTAGACACATGTTACTTCTCACGGTAGCCACAACTTTTACCCTCAGCCCAAAGGTTATATACATGTGCACTAGTTCATAAATATCAATTGTGCAGTGTCCTGCATTAATATTTTTAACTGAAAAAGCACAGTTCTGGAGAAACATTCACATTAAAAGAATGCACACGTGAACACACCCACTTTTTTGGGGGGGGGAGAGGGTTTCAGTCAAGTTTTGAAAATTTCCAGCACTAAGGGAGTACACATGACCTACACATGGAAATGGGACCTCCTCAGCGGATCTTCCTAATTGTGGTCGCTTGAGATGTAGCTTCTGCAGCCTGATAAATCTCTTGAAAATTCAAATTGCCTTCGGAGAAAGCGTTATGTACCAAAGAACAGCCATGGCTTCAAAGTTCTATTATTTCCATTTTGGTTAAAGACATCCAAACAGACATTCTTTGCCAAATGTTCTGCATACTAACAGCACCAGATGATTAAAAATGACCTTTTGTATGTCCAACGCGGAGTTTTGTTTGTACATGCAAACTTGTGTTGCATTTTGTTTTTTATCTGTTTGTTTCAGACGCAGAATTTCTTTTGGGCGATATATAGAAAAAATAAGTGTAGTTTCAAGTTGGTAGCTCATGGGGGAAAATATGTTAAGATATACAGGGTGGAAGAAAAAAAAAAAATGTAGTTGAATTTATCTAAGACAGTGTATCCAGTACTGGAATGTGAAAAGAAAGTGGACCATTTAAACTCATGAAGGCTGAACTTTTCTGTTTTGTTGTCTTTGAACCTGCCCCAGAAGAATCTTGAAAAAATCTTGAAGTAGTTTTCAGGAGACCTTGACTGCATTTGTATTTGTTTTTTAACAATGTTATGTTCAACATTTGAGAACAGTTGCATTGGATGGCCAGTATGTGTGAAGTATATCTATGGATTAGAAGGAAACAAAATGTAATTTGTTTGACCATGCAAACTATAATGTATTTATTTCTGTGGCGTTTTCAGTACCCTAAAGAGAGATATTCAGGAGAGTATGTAAGTGGTTTGCATGTTTACCAAGAAGACACATTTGTGATTAAAAAGGAAGGTTTTAACGTTTTTGTTTCGTTTTTGACAAAAATATCATTGAGAAAACAAAATTGCAGTGTTCATGTTGATTTGGAAAAGTGCAAGTCTTTTATTAAATCAGGGAAGTTGTTTGATTTTTCCAATCTGTACAAATATACCTCTTTTTCAGTGTTTCCTTTAAAATAATTTGTTTCATTTGATAAAATATGGAATTTCGTTCACTAAGAAGTATTTTGATTGGATGATAGAAATGGTGTAGGCAGATAACAATTTGACCAAAATAGTTTTGAAAATGTGGGTCAGCACATGATGAACACTGATTTTGCTTACCTTGGCTATGATTTCTAAAGCATATGTTGGAAGTTTAGGAGCATTATTACACTTTGAGGAAACATGGAAGTTATAAAGCATACCGTGCAGTGACAAGGGTTGTGTGGTTTTCTGATGGTCAGAAAACAGGTTCATTGTTATTCATTATCAAAAATAAAAATCTCTCCACCCATACACTCCAAAATACAGATATTGATGACTGAATGACTTTCTATGGTGGACTGGGGCACAAATGTTTTCCATAGAATTAAACACAGATATGCCTGCTAATGAACAAGAAATTTATGTACCTCTTCTGATCTGTGATTTTTGTCTGAACAGAATATAAATCAGTTGCTTATATAGTATGTTTCTTGTTATGTATTTCAAAATCTCAACAACTAATCTATAAAAGTAGACAAATTCATTTTAATATGTGAAAAGTAGCTGAAACGAGCATTTTCAACTATATCAGTTTTTCACATTAGCAAACTGTTATTTGAAAAAAAATTGCAGAAGTTGAAAACCATAATTATCAATTCGTGTTGTCTCATTTTCCGTTTACCAATCATGTTGCTTCTTCTAATGATGCCTGTGATTCTTGAAAATTAGTGTCTTACAGACTTAAACTCTTACAAAATATTAACCTTTTATTCCCAAAGAAGGCATAATATTTTGTTGCCATGTGGTGCTTCTAGCCAGTTTCTCAGTAATACACATTAATGAAATATATCCAAAAAGACAAAAATATTATTTTGGCACTCTTGTTATACCTTAGAATAATTAGAGCCTATATGATTCTTTAACAGCAGTTTCTGTTGTTTTGTTTTTTCCAGATGTATTTTGTCGTCACTTGAAGGGTTACTTGTTCTGAAACCTTTGTATCCCTACAATGGTTTTCTTATTAGCATTACACCTTGTCCACGTATTAATTATTTTGTTTATGTTTGCCTTCTGAGCCACTTTGGATGTACTGTACCTTATTTTCTATTTTACATGAATATTCATAGTAACTTTATGAGTATTCATATTTAATGCTATCAGTATGTTGGATGTTGTTTCCCCGTTGGAATTATGACAATAATGTTAGGCAATGCAATGTGTATAGATTGTCGGTTACATTAGGTAAACGTTTTCATCTTGTAAGATATCACACAGCAATCTCATACACATTTTGTATAGTTATTCCAAGAAAAACCTTAATGACCTGGGTATTATGAGACATTAAGACTGTTGTACTTTTAAATTGGTATGAACATTATACGTGTGTGATAAAATAAAGTTTCATATGTAACACTTCACTTTTGTTTTTGTAATCTATTGTTCTGTCCCCTTTTACCCCTGAATTGTCATTCTGTAAACATGGGCGGAAATCGAAAAACAGGGACGACCAAATTTATCTTATATCAGTTTTCATATTACATTGTTTCAATTACCTATATACCAAGTTAATTAAACAAGTTAAACAACCCTTCGTTTTTCTGCAATAAAATTGCATTACAATACTTTGTTTTGGATGCAAGAACGTCCCCACGCATTACACAAGAGGGCGCTATTTACTCCCTGCATCGCGCTACGTAAGAATTCATCAGCTTGGGGATCGGATGACCATGTGCTAAACTTCAACAGTGCGAAATCAACATCTGTACTTCAAACATTAAAAAACGCCAACACATCTCCTACAACACGCGTACAACCTGATTCAAATCAAGAGACACTGAGTCCATGTAGCACGAGCCCTGCCTTTGTCAACATTGCTTTGTGTAGACAGGTGTGATAGTGCAATGTGATTGGTTGAATGTTAACTGAAGGTTATCGATTCCAGTTCAATGGACTAGCAGAGGTCAACGTTTAATGTTCATGCGTGCATGCATAATAAGTTATCAAACCATCTGTCACACCTATCGCTATAAAGAATTTACACATGGCGGCGGCCTATTCTATTGGAATAAGAATCCGAGCCAAATAAAACGAAACATTGGATAATGGGTCAGTTTGTTTCACGCAGATCCCGATCGCGATCAATTATGAACTGTGAGTCTGTGCATGGAGGATGTTTTATTCCTCCATGGTCGGTGTGTGTGGGGGGGGGGTCAAACTAGGCGTCAAATCGAGAACGTTGGCGTATTCAGGAATGACTTTCCCATTGTAATTGGGAATACATGACTCATTATCAGAGACTAGAGTTCTACATTTCACGTATTTCAAATAGCTGAATCCCGAAACGGCATAAATGTCAGTACAGTAGCAGGCAGTCATTATTCTTACTACAAAGTATGTCAGTTGTAGCTCAACCCCAACTGGGCGGGCCAATTTTTTTGAGCTGCTTACGCACAAAATTTGCATAAGCATGAAAACCTTGCTTAAAAAACAAAGGTTACCACTTCAAACTCTATCTGATTGTCATGCTAACCAAAAGACAGCTAAATACGATCCTAAAACATCACATGGAGTTTGGGCTGGTTACCTGATTTATCAAGCAAGGTTTTCTCGCGTTTGAGCAAATTTTGTGCTTAAGCAGCTCTATGAAATTGGCCAGCAGGTTGAAGGACGTCTAGCTTTGCCTTGTCTTTTACTGTTGGTACTAAAGGCCTGAATTCCTTTAATTTTTTTTTGAAAGGGGTTGTTCAACTTCACAAGTCAAAAGGCAATCTAATTAGAACTGTGGTGATATAGCTTAGCTCTCACAGAATATTTACCTCACAATAAGCCTGGGTTCGAGTGATATGCTGTTCCTTCTTGTTTCATTATAGAGTGAATCGAAGCCGAGTCACGGTGGTTTTGGCGGGTCCATCCGGTGGATACGTCTCGTCTGCCGGTTGCCACTGTATTAGTTCCATTTAGAGAAGCGCCGGACTTCGCAGGGATGGCGGCTATTCTTGAAAGAGTATAACACCCGGGAGTATATATTCCAACGATAGGTTTTCGTCTCCACAATTCGGTAACTACATTTTTAGAACTTACTTTCAGTGGTTCACAAATCCAGGTTTACGAGATGTTTGGAATTTGTTGACCTTGCACAACTTCGCTCCATCCACACGGCATGTCGAACAACAGGTACATGAAAGCACATGCGGTTCGCAATGCCGGATCACCTTATACATGTATTACTACACATCCAATACACGTTTCACCATTCTTCTCCCGATTTCTTAACGTCGTTTCCAAATATCTTTGTACACTTTTAAAATGGACTGACTGAAGGTATTTAAAAAGACCAACGCGAAACACTTGATCATACTTGTGGGAACAAAATGCACTATATTGCCCCAACAAGCGGATGTACACGCACCACCCGTTAGCATGAAGAGCTCGGACTGGACAAAAGTTTACAAAGAACGACTGTGATTGGATGACAGTGATTACACCTAAAAATAGAATTGATCATTACAATAAAAGCATCTTAGCTAATTCTGAGTGAAAAGGACACATAAATATTGTTAACACAATTTTGTACGATGAAACAACTAATTTTTATTCAACTCATGGGAATTAGCTCCACAAAACACTTTTTACACAAACAGCTTTATTACAATCGAACAAAAAAATCATAAAGAGTCGCTCATTTAAATCCAAAACTTTGTACAAGCTCCACTGATAAGTACATACACCTTTTCTTCGTTGATACAATAATAGTCGATGGGAAAAATTCTTACCTAAACAAACCCATGACTGCATAAACTGAAACTACTTCATGCTCAACTAGTCACTTGAAAACAAACAAAAATTGAAAGAAATTTAGGAACTATTTTAGACAAAGCGCTGGATGAAATAAATAAATGTTGACAAAGGTACAGGATGGGGTACAAGGTTGGAGTAGGAAAGGAGGAAATTAGCACCCTAAAGCAAACAAAACAGATCCGCTTGTTGGACAAATCTACATCCATGTAGATAGGAAACGGACGACTCATTTTCCAGCCTGTTGAATTTCTCTGTGGAAATTTGTCTTCTCGTCAGTTTCTTGAAATGGGACTGATTTCATGGCTTTGCTAACTGACCATCACCCACTCTGATTGTAATCACCATAAACTGCTTACAGTACTGGCAAAGAAACTGCAGTCAATGTGCACAAGCCAAAATTCCTTTCTAACCAGTGAAATAGGATAACACGCTGAAGTAACACTTCACATTCAAGTGCAAGTAAGCAGAGTCATGTGATCACAACAGGTAATCCAAAATTGATCCAGTTGGGCCTGCCAACGGAAGGAGGCATCCATAACTGGCTAAAAAAATAATTTATCACATCTGTGTGCCTTGCAATTTAAAGAAATCTAAAAGCGCCAAATTTTCAATGAATAATATTTTCAGAATCATCTCTTCTAAGGCATTAAATCTCAATGTAACACCCCCCCCCGCCAAAAAATGCTGTGAATACATTCCCTTCATATGGTAGGTTCATTCTTCTGGTGAAGGCAAAAGCAAAGTGAATTTGACTTCATAAACCATTTCCAGAAGAATTTATTTCCTTCAGTTGAGATGCCTTTAACTTGTCATAATCTCACTGAAGCACAACTATTAGTTTTCGTACATAATCTGATTACAATTCTCAGTTTTAAATGCACTCTGAAAATGAGTACATGTGTTTTCTGTAGCTTTGCCACATTTTATAACCATGAATTCAGTGGAACCTTTCATGAAATTTACATTAAATATGGTGACATTTTACATATTTACACCATGGCATTGCTGAAGTTAAAAACAAGCAAAATATCACCACACAAAGGCAAAAACAAGGCCTACTCTAGTCTCAGCCCAAAGGCCTAATATTCATAACCATATATTCAATGCTTGGCTAAAAAACCCATTTCTGAAAATAGTTGAAAGTATGTCAAACCATGGGGAATTAAAATACATTAAATGAATAATGTTTGGCAATAATTGCTGTAAGTGCTATTTTCTTCCTCATGATTAGCAATAATTTTGAATATAAAAATGCAGTCGAGATAATAACCCTGCAATATATCCTATGCAAAACCAGTTCAGCTGTTTGCAATTAACGGCGAAGACAGAGTAAATTTCTTCGTAATCATTTTCTCCAAATGCTTAAGCTATTGTGAATTCAGACAGCATGTCCCTGAAGACATCCACGATGTATTCCTAGTGGCAAGGGATACTTGGATAATTTCTGCTCAATTTTGGCTTGAGCCGAACCAAATACCATTCTTTGCCAAGGTAGGGTAAAAAAGAAACCATGAAGTATCACATTGGAAATGCTTTATTTAAAATCTTTAGACATCAAAAAAAAAAAAAAAAAAAAGAAATCAGTGGCTGTCGAGGAATGAGCGAAAGTCAAAAACTGTCATCAAACAATGTGCTCACCCATGCTTGGCTAAACATGAATAATCCACTATGCAACCTAAAACAAATCCTAAAACAGCAAATACAGTTTTAAGCGGAAAGCAGAGCATGCCTTTATTATCATTAAGTAAGATATGAAGCTTTGCATGGGGGAAGAGACATGAGAAATAGGTGTGCAGGTACAACATGAAATCAATCTCTTTTGGGCGAGGTGTGGTTCTTAAAAGAACAGGTGAGAGATCAACTCACCGGTTCTTTTAAGAACCACACCTCGCCAAAAAGACATTGATTTCATGTTGTACCTGCAAACCTATTTCTTTTGTTATCATTATTGACTGAGTACAGGAGTAAGTTTCAGCAGGAAACAAACACTCTTGTAATTGCTGATTACTGGGTGAGTGTTGTTTCCGTAATCAGTTATGGTCATTGCTTCTTCAGTGGCTGTGGCAAAAGAATCATTTTTGTTTACAAATTTAGCACAAATGTAGCCTGACTTGCAAGTCTGCATTTTCCATCATACAAAATGTGGAATGCAAATTGCTACTATTAAATGTAGTGTTAAAAATACTTCATTAATGTAAAGTATATTATACAGAGTTGTCATGTGATAACTACGGTAGTTCCAGCATCTTGAAGAGTCCAGATTTCCCCCTTTCTGTCACTTATATGACAAATCCAGTATGAACATACCACTGCCAACAAGGAAAGAAATGCTACGTCAATACCTGTTGCCTGACAATATCAAGTAGGCACTTCTTGCTGAGACCTCTAATAGGCTATAGTCAGTAATGCTCTCTTCAGAACGCATCACAAGGAATTAAATGAAGCATGTACAGATATCTGGGCTGATGCGTCATTACAGAACAGCATCTTGACTGTTTGGAATCAGGCAAATACTGCCAAAGCAAAGGGCCCAACGACAGGTGTCTGAGGGCGGAAAAAAAGCTAAGAAATAAATTATACTATGGGTGGTCAATGCACATTGCACTTTTAAACTGTTTCTCTCGGTTGTGTCAGGGGCTTGGCAGCTGGGGGCTTTGGCAGACTGTACAGGTAAACTGCACATATTACGAGCACGGTGCCAATGACAAACAGCACTCCAAATGTCTTGTGGAAGAGAAGAAAGGAGCCCACGGCGGCAAGGATGATGGACACGGCAGTGGAGAAACCCTTGATGATGTTGTCTGTGTACTTGACGACAACAGATGTGTAGAGGCCACCTATGCTAGCCATGGCTGTAACAAAGGAGATCGAAATTCCATTAACACGTCTTCTGTGCCCAGCAATAGATAATATTTAGCTGTGTTTAATAAAGCCACAGTTACGATTATTATTTATGTTTGTGAAAGAGAATAAACAGGTGTAGGGACCTGAATGCTAGCCCCAAAGGCCATAATTGAAAGAGGGAGAAATCATGAAAAGGTTTCCTTCACTTTACTATGTGCGCCGTTATATATGCCATGTTTCCTCCAGATATCAATGTACCAGTCCAGCAGGGCACATGCAAATGTCATTCTTTAAACAGCAATCTGACTCGATAAAAAATTATCATAATTACGACGCAGAATTAAGTAGCTCTCCTTCATAATCATTAAAGTGAAAGGCACAGTGGTGTGAGGTTTGACATCATCAATTTTGTAATTTTTAAAAGTCCCAAATGAAAATCTCATAATGCTCCCAAAACACCTGCCTGCAAATGCAAAAGGACTGAAGCATTCCTTTGGTGGAAAAATACTTAGGTTTATGTTGCCAATTTTGCCAACTCTGAAAGCAAGTACGAAGATATGAGAACTGTCCTTTAGCCTATCAACTGGTTGGGAGCCTTCTTCCCCATTCTGCTCTTAATATGTTAAATTTCAGACACCTTGAATTCTGCTTGGATGACAAACAAGTCTCAGTACATGTAGCATACCCTTTCACACCACTGTGGCCATGTCTTGCATTGCACAGCATGGATCACCCTAGCCACAATGTCTACAAACCAATTCATAATAGCGCGCCTCCAATCGTTTGCAATGCGTTGAACAATCACAGTGCACGAAATCTGCTGACCTAATGCGCATTTGGAAAGGGGCGATTTCGATTGTGATTTCGTGCATTGTGATTGGTCAATGCGTTGCAAACTCTTAGTGACATGCCTGTATACATGTAGGCAATGCTTCTTCTATATTTGCCCTAACTCTTGGAGCCAATATCAAATAGTTGTCAAGCCCAAAACTGACACAGAATTATAAACTCAGAATGTACAGGGTACCAACCAAAGTGTAAAGCAATGAACATGTACAAAACCTACAACTTGTATGCAGTAACTTTAGGCTAAGCACATAAATTTGATAAGTGGAATAATTTCCAAACAACCAGCTCCTTAAAACTGCGCCCAGGCTGAGAGTAAGCAAAAAACCATGTAAAGAAACTTACCAACTACCAACCATACTAAGATATCATAGCCGTGCAGGAATCCTTTCTCTAAGATAACACCACGATCTGTAGAGACCACAGCAATCAGCCCACTCACGATACCAAACATGTACATCTGAACATTTCGTATCCACAGTGATGTATTGGTTCCTTTTAACACTTTCTCAAAATAAACACCTGCAAAACGAGACCAAAATAGATACTCAGGTTTAAGCACAAATCATAAAATAGTTAATGGAGCAGACATGTAATAATTTGTGAAGACGTCAGTTTATTGCTTTCATTTCAACTTTCAAGTTTTCAAAGTTCAATGAAGACATATATATGTACCTTGCTTTCAATACAAACTACCTTTTCATGAATGGAGTTTTTGCATTCCAGAGAACGAATGCAGCTAAGGAAATGCCATTTATGCACGATAAAAAACTCACCAGCAAACCCTGAACACAAACACGAGATGACAATGCAGAGCAATCCAACTGGGTAATTGTAGTGAGCTTCTCCACCCTTGGTGCCTGTGGCCGACTCAACCTGTACCATGGCAACGCCAACAAACAGCAGAATAATGGCCAACCACTGGAATTTGGACAAACTTCTGTGCAACATGAGGACCATGAACATAGCTGTGGTTATAACCTTCATCTGGTAGGAAACCTTTGGGAGAAGAAAAACGAAAGAGGGAGAAGATTGCGTAATTATGGGAAAATCACCTAATAACCATCGCCAACTTTAGGCCCTAAAACTCAATGCACAGAGGCGAATGCAGTGATCGCAATTTTTAAAATCTCTTTGACCAATTGGTTGTTTTGACTGCAAAAGTAAAAGTGCCCAGTAGATCAAATTAGTACTGTTTATTTGTGAAAAAGTTCTCATGCAATCAGGAATTGCTTAAAACCGATCTAGCATTATAGAACCAGCAAGAAAAGTGTCATTGTCACTCCAGTCAATCCCATGAATTTAAAATTCAAGCTTACATGTGGGAAAAGTTTTGCGATCCAAAACAAAAAGAAAATGGCTGTGATAGTGATACATACATGTATTTCAATACTTCAAGACAGTCATCTTGCCAGCCAGGCACTAAATGTAACATGTAAGTGATTTCACTAATTCAGTGCACTGCCATACAGTGTACATTGTACATGCACATGCATACACGAAGCTGGAGCGATGGCCCTGCGTGTGCAGTGGTTCACTACACGTTGTCGGTCACCTTTGCGGTCTGCGGTCACAAGCCCGGCTGAGATAATGAGGTCCAGGGTTAGGCTTATCGTGCTTTGGACCAGCAATGCACGGTAAAAACCGCAAAGCGTGTATTGAACAGCGTGTCAGGTTCACTGATCGTGTTAGCGTGTCGGCTGAAATTCTGACCTGTACTGTACCTGCATCCTTGCTTGATTTTTTTAATTCAGTCACAATAATGTTCATCTTCCCCTATGCTGCCTCTTTTTCCACCTGACTTTCAAGCCACAAACATTTCCATGGATATTTCAGGCCTTCGTCAAGATCTCCACAGCAATCTATAACTTTATGAGCCATTGTCCAAAAAGGAATTTGGAAAATTCCGGCAAAGCCAGCAAAAAAGAAAGATTCATATACACGTATCATGGATACATTTAACAAAAAATTTGGAATAGCTGGACAAATCTCAACCCTGTTCAGGTGAGCATGAAAATGGAATTTTGCAGTGAATGTCTTTGAGTTGAATAGCGTTCAACTTTTGAAAATTCACGGTGCAAATACATGTACATGTACCTATACATGTACATGTATTTGATCTGATGTCACAAACTTGAATTCATGTTGGCTTTCATGCCGAGTATGAACCAGCCTTTGCAGTGAATTACCGACAGTGAAGCTCAGGCACTGTTGCTCTACGAGTGGATGGAGTTCAAAATTTGCTTCGAAGTAATAAAAAAAGTAAAAATGCATTGGAGAAGTTGGATTTTGGGTTTAGCTACTTGTTACATGGGGTAGGTCAATTGTGGTCACCAATGAGTTGAAATTAACCCCAGCAATCTGCAATTTTCCTTTGTCAATAGAATTTTACATGTACATGTATATCCCCAGGACTTTTGGGTTCAGGATGATTTAATATACATAATGAACTTCAAGAAACTAATGCTGACCCTCATGAATCAACAATACAAGAGCCCAATGCCGACATCTGAAGTGACAATGTTGCCTATAAAAGAAGACTAATATGCAGTTTGTCATATTGAATTTGTTGAGGTGAGGTGAGCTTACTTTTTGTTCTGGCGGTTGGAGTTTGTTGTGATGTCAGGCTTTCAAATTTTCATTCTCTGTGCAAAGCAATAAAGTTTTGGAAATGTCGGAGGTTATGAGATTTTGAGGTTTTGCATAGGGGACAGCACACAACTGGGAAAACAATCTTGGTGCAATCCCAAGATCATTTTCCCAACGATTTTCTTCATCAGCAATTTTTTTTCACATTCTTTACCTGGTAAGTGGCAGCATCCAAATTTGACAGGGCCACGAAGGCTAGGTTGTTCTGAATGGCATAGATAATGGATGGCACGCACATCTTGAAGGTGTCCCTGGGGTTCATGAAGACGCCACTCCAGACATCATGGAACATCCCCGACAGGCTACGGTGCTCCTTGACCAAGAGGAGGAGGCTAATGAGGAGCTTGGAGACTTCCGTCAGGACAACTGTGGTGGTGGACGAGTACAGTGTCCCAGCCTGTGACCGGGTGTAGCGGATCAACAGGATGTAACCAGTAGCATTGAGGGTCAGGACTAAGAGAATGTAAATCTTGAAACCTAAACTTGCCCCTTCTGCAACAAAAAACACAGGATAACAATTAAAAAACTGTAAAATGACACAAATGTGAATACAAAGTCCTCTGAAAAAAAGTACATACAAAATACATGTACATGTACTATGGCTGATATTATTCATCAGCTGAGTAAATAAATCCACATGTTGGCAGCTGGGAGACAGTTATAACACAGTGCAAAGCTCTTCCACTTAAAAATAGCATTCTGCAAATGTAACTCGAGGCCTAATTTTTTCAACCAAACAGCAGTACCACTGATGCATAACTACATGTATGTTTGGACAATGGAATATAATGTAGCAGGCAGAGGAATGCATGATGGAATTTAAGACTCACAGCACGTACATGTATGTTTCCTTCATTGTTCAGGGTCATACAATGGAATGCCAGCGAGCTTTTGTGATAGAAACTAGACATCTGATGGAATTATTTTGTTGTTCAATGATCTTGTGCACTCAAATATGCAGCAGCCTTTTTCGAGCAGTGAAAATTTGTTTATTTCCTCTCTTCCTGTATTAAAACAAATCAATATACAGTGTATTCTTACAACCAGGGTTTTCACAAGAATGTGAAACACTTAATTATGAAGCGTTGAACTAAAGGTCATTAGCTTAAAAAGTTTTTAATGCCAGATTTAAAAACTGAAAAATCTGTCACATGACAGTACATGTATTCATGACAGTACATGTATTTTGATTTGACATTGAATGTCTGAAGGTCCGAAGAGGAAGATGGCTGCATCAGAAAAACTTGTAAGCAGTCTCTCAGTGTCCACAAATTGTGGTGTCAAGAGACATCTTTCTATTGGACAATAATCTTTGCTAAATCGTAGCTGGAGTTACTGTAGTCCTGAAAGTGAGAAGCTACCCGGTATTATAGTGATTATAATGTACAACTGTGTGCATTATTGCAACTGATTTTGTGGTTTGTTCATCAAAAACCTCAGAATTCATACATGTTCCAGTACACCCTTGTGAAAAAAATAATCCGGCACTTTTCCAGGATTTTCCAGGTCAAAAGTTTGATTTTTCTAGGACTTAATTCAGGTTGGACACACAATACAATATATCAATACAATAAAACGGACAATTGTGAAGTTATAACATAACAATGTATAGAAATTGAGCAGCGCAAGGACAAAGACGTGACAAATTTTCAGAAAGTTACAACCGGACCACGAGGTACATGTAGGCGCACACAGCTGGCCATCATAAAAATAAACTCTCCCTAGTCCATTCAACGTTTATGTAAAAGATTCAACACAGTCACAGTTTTACTTTACACTGAGCTTTATTAGTTTATAATGACTGGAAATATTCAATTACATATTAAATAAAGTACATGTACCGGTACGTAAATTTAATGAAATGATTTCATAATTACCGGTATATCCACAACAGAGAGTTCACCATGAAGCTACATGTACAAACAACGAAGGTAAAATTTGACTATAAGAAAGTTTAGTAATGATATCCTTGGTGCCCTGCGCATGCAAAATAGAATCACATTGTGGGCACCATCCAAAATTGATTTCGCTCACAGCGCTGTGTCATGCGCGTGCAGCGTGGGTGTGTTTTCGAGTGTGTAGACCACATACAGGTATGGTGAATAATGTACAACTGTATTGCGCCGCACAATAGCGCCAATGTGCGCAGGGACTGATCGATCGCAGTAAATTTTTGGTCATAGTTTATAAGATAATTTTTGTCTCATTTTAAAAGTAATATTGATTTTACTACAATTTCCAGGACTTCTTTTAAGAATGAAGCATTTTCCAGGACTTTCCAGGATGGGTGTAAAATTCCAGGATTTTCCAGGTTTTCCAGGAGGTGTGCAAACCCTGTAACCTGCCTGCCGGTACAACCGAATTGAAGGTCGAATATTCGCATAGTCAATTATTCGAATTGACTCAGCCCTGAAGGAATGTACCACGTACGGTACAATCGCCATCATGCATGTCAAGGAAGCTTACCGGTACAACACCTGCCACACTTTAAATAATGCATTTACTTAAAAACTTAAAAAGCTTTGTAAATTCCCATGTACATCCTGTAGCAAGTAATGTTAGGATGCCAATGGCTTAGTGTTTTGAGCAATCTACAAATGTACTGTACTACGCACGGTGATGAGTGATTAAGAGGTTCCTGAAGGCAGGGGCAGATTGTACATGTACGCATAACTGCATGAGGATGTGAACATTCGTGAACCTTTCAAATTTCCTGATTCTATGTCCCCAGACTTTTTTTATGGACACTAGGTAAATACATGTACATGTAGTTCTAAATTTCCGGATGCTGAATGTTTACATGTATACAACCAATGAAATAGTGTACATTGTACCGCAAATATAGCACTTTTGCTCCCTTGCCCCATCAATCATCCTAAGAGCCGTTCATAATTAGTGCAAAAGCGAACACAAACATGAAATAGTGGTGACTTGTAGTGGTGGACAAACATACATGTATGTATACCACAGCTAAAGGCATACACAACTTGCTGTTGCTTGCTGTTTTTACTCTATGCCTGTGTGTATTTTCAGTGTACAGGTACCGATACATACAGAACCGGTAGGTCGTTCACACATGGAGGTGTTTAACAGTAATGTTAATGAGCAATTCCATCTATGTGTACAAAAGGTTTGTATGTCATGCACCCTGAAGAGATCAGCCCTTCCTAGCTCCCTGTACAGGTACCGTTATTAAAGGGCACATCAAAGGGCACTTGGGGCGAATGAAGCATTTTTGCCAGCTGACATACATGTACATGTACATGTACACGTACCTCTAATTCCGCCCACATTTACTGACACACATGTAAGTGGATGCCATGCTGCTTTCAATCTATAACCTGACTTGCTTCAATATTTAGCAGATACTGATACATGTATGTACCTTCTAACCTCTACGCTGAAAATGGAAAGTGGAATTTCTGTCTTTTGTTTTCGGTATTCCTTTTTCTGTTACCTGTAAACACAAAAGCCAAGCCATGAGCTTGCAAATGCAGCTTACATGTATCACCTGAGGGATTTACATGTATTGGTCATTCCTAGAAGTTGGTTACACAGAGTGTGACATTTTTAGGCTGTTTTACAATGTTTTAGAACGAGGGTTAACAATTTAGAAGTTCTTTCCTAAAGCTGTCTGAAATGCTGTGTTTACTTTCATTTTATTATGTTTTCAAACGTCAGGTGCATGTAGAGTTCTTTGTAATTAATACATTACCCAATGGTACATGTAAATTAGTGTTGCTAGTGCTCAACCCTACCCATTCTGAATTAAACAAGATTCTGTATGAATCAATGATGCTAATAATACAGAGTGGCTGATACAAAGGGAAATGAGAAAGGTAATCAGAAAGGAACATAATATAATGAAGAGCTAAATTTCTGAGGATGTATGTAGTTCAGATTTTATCAGTTTCCACACGTACATGTATTTTTCTACATTGTCATTTCTAGGTTTATGTACATGTACATACAATGTACATATAAGTGTAACTACATGTAGGGCATTATCAAAAATTTTACATAATTTAATTGCATGCATGAATTCATTATCAGTACGAGTAGACTTGAGTATAGCAGAACATGCAATGCGCTTGCCTGAAGGCTTATTAAAATATTTACTCCAGATTTTTGCTTGTCATCTTTTGGATGAACTGCTATCTGTGCTTTTCACTGTTTTTATTTCACGCAACAAATCACACAAAAAACCAAGGGATGGAAAAATCAATGTCTGTACATGTACATGTAGCTCTTTCTCAAAAAAGGAAATAATGCCAATGGTGAAATATGCAGGCAGGAAAACAGAGTGACACACATACCATGTATGGCTCATTATTTTCCCATTACACTATCTCAACTCATCCCCTCCCTGAAACTACACATGTAGGTATGGGATATCACACTCATGCAACATACTTTCATGTACATGTACAAGTACAATAGCTCCTGCACCGTAGTTGTGGGGACATACACTCGATATTTCACCTATTTTGTGGGGACGGAAAACGTTGTGGGGACTCAGAAATGTCCCTACAACTCAGTTCAAATTTCCCTAACAAAAGAACTTGTCCCCTTAATGCGGTGAATGCCTATCCATGTATACACTCACAAACATACACGTACATGTATGTAGATTAAACCTGCTGACTTCTGGGAAGAAGAGAAAGGGAAAAAACTTCTTTCCAAAACACTCACAAGCTAATTTCTCCCTGAAATTTTAAGTTCTGTAGACAAGAAAGATGTTTTGTGAAAAAAGTTTATCTGACGATACATGTACATTTTGTAATTTAGCCAAAATTGAGGGCTACAGAACACCCCTCAATCGGTTGAAAAGAGCCATGTTGGTCAGGAAAGTTCACATTGCTGGTAGCAACGCAACTGTAACGTGTGAATTTCATGGTTGTTTGTGAACCAGCGAAGTGCAGTACCAATTCCAATTAACGGAGCCTCCATTGCTAGGAAAATCTCTCTCTCTCTCTCTTGGTCCAGCTCATGGCACATGTACATGTAGGAGAACTTACAATACACGCATGTAGAGTTAATAGCCTTAAATACAATGTACATGTAACGGTACCGAAATACATTTTTTCCCATGATTTTTGTCACCATCATGTCTCTTACTCATACACGCTATACAAATGTTAAAAATGAGAATAAGTTAACACACGGGCGGAACTACACGTACACTGTACATGTAGTCAATTGTAGAAATTAATATCATGAGAAATAAGATTGCGCTGCATCTTGCTCACACCAAGTACCATGACCAATGTCTCATCCAGCCACCTATCCTGAAGAAAGGTAAAAACAATTTGGACAATCAGTTTTAGCTTGATCAAAATTTACAAGCCCTCTTTTTATTTTACATTAATATTTTTAACACTGGTGAACACATCTTCATTTTTTCTTCCAAAATACTGGGTGCAGTAGATGATCTCAGACAGCATCCAAGGAAGTGAGTTTCAACAGTTTTTCTTGGACAGTAGGAGAGGATAGGCAGTTTTTTTAACTTTGACTAGGATGTGATAACCCGGACAGTGACTCTGCTATAATAATGTACCATGTGAATGTGCAAACTACATGTACATGTATGCATGCATGGTATTTTGTTCCAGGGGTTATTTCAGTTTTAATCATGGGGGCTTAACCAAACTGACACCACCCATATCAAAATACAAACCTGCAACCGATCCTACCCAACCTGATTAAAATGGTGGAAAAGCCAACTTGACTTGAAGTCAATGTCAGGCCAGATTGGTTTCAGGCAGGATCATTTTGGGCTCTGGTCAGGTTTTGGACATTACCACAGATCCACAAACATGGCATTCGGGAAAAATATAATGCAACATTTACAAATTAATTGGTCAGTTGTGCTGTCCTGTTGTCCATCATGCTGTCATCTGTCAATGGTTATGTTGGGGACCATTGGTTGATCAGCACAATCAAAGAGTGTCGCACTATCAGTCGTTCCTGTATGAAATCTCTGATCATATATGTACTTCCCTTTCTTGAAGCAATCTTTCTCACCTGCAACTTAGCGGTACATGTATGGTGATTGACTGATCACAGCAGAATTATTAGCGAATCATGCAATAAGATTGACAGATTACACAGAGATCGAGAGACCATGAAGATCAGCGGACTGATCGTCAGTCTGAGAATACAGTATTAACTTAATGACATACATGTACAGTAGCAATAACTTATAATTTAATCAATCAACCAATGGCACCCAACAACTTTTAGGAAGCCTATCCTTGCTAAATGCCCAACAGCCAGGTGACATTGCCCAACCTTAACCATGTCCAAATGTTAAAAGAGGCAATTTGTATTCAGAGGGTCTATCCTAGTACATGATGTAGGTCCTAGGCCTACTTACATGTAGCACAAATCGCAACAACATTTCTGTATCTGTATCATTACATTGCTGATGCCAATTCTGGCATTAACCATGTTAACAAGATGGACGACATCAACCCTGCGCTACAGAAAGTACAGGCTACAGTCAGTTTAATAATAGTGAGCAATGATGTCATAGTCATGGTCATCATGGAACCAAAAGCCAAAATGCAGGTCTCCCTTCATGCCCTTAAGTCCTATTAATATGGGAACGGGGTCCCAAAAATACAATCCCCCTATGACGTACTGTCTTAGGTGAATCAACACAAGGCTAACCTAACAACATGTCTAAATTAACAAGGCCAAACGTTAGGCTATGGGCCTATCAATCATCATGCCTTTTTTTATAATCACTACAGTACTGTACTGTAGCCCATATGCAGATGTGGCAGAAGGCCGACCCAATCATCCACAAAAGACTATTGACACACATAGATATATTTCTGGTGTGATCATTATAATTAACATTCAAACATTACTTACAATCTGACACAAAATATCAACAAAGATCATTTAACTTACCATTTGATGAAGCCATTTTGATTTCTTGCACTCTGCGTCCGCCAACGACATGAATCGCGGTGGCAATGTTCGATGGGTTCCGTGTGATTTTTTCTTTTACCGTTGAGGGGCCGGCCGGGAATCGTGAGCCCACTTACTTTAATGTGCCTCCAGAGGGCGCTTTTTCTTCGATACGGGCGGCGCGGCCATAGCGCCACTACAGACATTATAATAAAACTCACAGACATAATAAAAACAATATTGGGCGCGGCCCGGGCGTGGACATCACTGGCGGGAGGGGCCGGGGGCGAGTAGGGCTGGTGAATGAATGAAGTGTCGCGTCGCAGTCTTCTGAGAAAGCACAATATACGATACGAACTTTTGAAACGTAGAAATGTCAATAAACATAAATTGAAAAGAAAATTTACTGAAACACAAAGGTACATTCAAGGAAGCAAGTAATTTTTGTCACAAAATTACACAGTTAATCTTTCTTTCTTTTCTCCTGAATGAACTTTGAAGTAGTTCTACTCCTTTTTTTACCAGTTTATAATGCTATCATTTTCAATGGGGCATGGAAAGCCTATGAAGTGTGGCTTGCATACTCATTTCATTTTCGCAGAGTGGACAGTGCATGTTTAATTTCATGTTGGTGGGGTGGGAAAATGTGACTATGGCAATAAAAAGAGACAAATGGATGGCTGACACTGAGACTGGTGGCTTTTAAGTGGAGTTGTTTCATATATTCCTACCTGGATCCTAGCTGACTGTTTCACCCCCTGGTCATATGCTAGTACGGAATATTTTTCATATCAGAATAATGAACAAACAATTGACCAAAACATAATGTTGGGAAAGATTCGTGAATTTAGCAGTCCAATTCCCATTTTATTGTCACCCCCTGCAAGTTCTACAAATTGATGCAGGGAAAGCACAATTGTTCTCATATTCAATAATTGAAAATGAGGCATGAAAGTGAGGCATGGAACCCCAAATAATTTGGAACCGTCCCATTTAATTTACGGATTCCATTGAATGAGGTCGATTCCGGGAGCACAATAAAAAATGACTTCCCCTTGAATAAGGTCTGTTTGATATTTTAAGAAAGCTAACTTCAAGATATTTCAAGATTGGTTTGCTTTGGATCAGCCAGCGAGGTTTAAAAATACCTAAAGCGGGCTTTACAAGTATTAGTACCAATAAACGCAAAGCACTTTTCAAAGACAGCTATCATTTGTCTATTTTGTGATACTTTTTAGCCTTTAAAAACACAAAGTTAAAAAAGGTTAACAATTCTCCTGGCTGTAACTACATGTAAAGACTGCCAACAAAATGAAGCGCGAATTCTTGTCGGCTGATAACTAACTATTTGTCAGTGAAGAGATCTTAACAAAGGCTCAATGGTTCGCAGTGAAAATTGCCATAAATACAACATACCTTGTTTTCCAACAAACCTTTTCCAGAACTCATCATGCTCACAGAAAAAATATTAAAGCAAAGACGCAAATTACTGTGGCACCCGCCCCGGGGGAGGGGTAGATTTCATCTGTAAAGTGGATGAAAATACATACGCACAATTTATATATGGCAGCGCTGTATCGAAAGGTTTATTGTGACTGGTGCTGCTCATCCAAGAATGGCTTGTGACCAGCACAGTGTTGGGAACTTATTGTGATCAGAGGACAGTAACTATGGCAACAGTCACTACCCAACTGACCGGCGGTATGGGCCAAATGTGAGCCAGTAGGGAAAAGCTTTTTGGGGGATAACCTTCTCGAACTTTCAACTTTTGGCCCTCTGAGGGGCCCTTAGAACTTCCAACTCTTGGCTCTCTGAGAAGCCCTACATACTCCGCCGAAAAAAATAAATGTTGTCTCAACATTTCAAGACATTAACAACTTAAACCTATTGCTATTATGTTGCTAAGTTGCTATTATACACGAACACAACTAGCACTTAGTGAATTAAAATAATTCCTTGTCTAATGTCATAGATATCGAGGAGAAAGTTATGCAACACCTGGAGCATCGCTCCAACTATGAGCCAGGCTTCTCCTAAACTCAAGGTCATAGTTCGATTAATGAAAAGTCTGAAGATGATATCAAGTCTTCTCAGTTTCACTATTCTAATTCCTTTCGGAGAATAAAAAAGTGAAGCAATCATTGCAATGCAATTCTCATCCATCACCCTAAGGACTCCTAGTGTTAAAAGACAAAAGGTGTTACGAAAACAAACCAAATAAATGGCACTTAATCAACAAACTTTGTACAAGAAACAAACAACTGTACAGCTCCTATTGGGTGGTAGTACGGAGACCGTCCTGAAGCATACTGCTGGGGTAGATACGATGGAGGAGGTGGATAGTGTGCAACAGGTTGAGCTGGATATGTGGGGCTAATAGTTGGGAAAATGTGCCAGTTCCGTAGGGCATTGTGCCTAGGTATAGGACTGGAGCAGAACCAGTCTGCCTGTTGGGAACATAGGTTGGTAGCATAGGTTGGTACAGGGATGGGTGGACAAGGGGGCGTTCTTGGGGCGCTATGACAAGTCCCATCTCTGGTGTAGAATATGTTGCGGCTACATGTGGACTGGGGGTACTCAGTTGATTAAGGTGAATACTTCTGGTGGCTGTCTCTGTCGCCTTGGATACCGACTGTCTGTACACGTAGGTACCTCACTCTCCTCATTTCCTCGATGTAGTTCTGGGTTTGGTCTGTGGATTCGCGTCCTCTGATGCCGCCGGGAGATTCAGCTGATCTTGTGGCTCTGCTAGGGCTACTGACTCGGGATTCTCAGGGTGTGATTATGTGAAACGGGTCTCTGGTTGAATGGAGGCTCACTGTTATCAGGCTCGTGCTGAGATTGGACGCCATCTATCTCAAGAGTGGGCTGTTCACAGCAAGACGACAGAGGTTGCTGGAGGGTACAGCTTATAATCAGACCCACTGTCATCTGAGCATGGCACTCCTTGGGTTTGGTGTGGAGCCCTCGTAAGACCCACCTTTGGTGGGTGGTGGGAGGAGATCACGGGGCAGTATAAGTGGTTAAGATGATTCAATGATGAAGAACTCGGGTTCTCCCCACACTGCCCTCTGATCTCAGCACAAACACAGGTGCATCATCTTGCATCTGCCTGACAGCAATGTGAATCTTTGGCTCCCAATAGGACCTCAGTTTCCCTGGGCGGCAGGGCTCACTCACATTCCGAACAAGTATGCGGTCTCCAGGCTGCAGACTTACCCCATGTGCTCTGTTATTGTATGGGCTACGGTTTCGGTGTGCCGTCTTTGAACTATGCTTGGCAGCAAGTGCGTGTGCTTGCTCCATCTGCGTCTTCCACTTTCTGACATAGTCATGGTAGTTAGATGTGGGGCCCTCGGTGCTGGCCTGCAGATCGAAGAAGACATCAATTGGTAGGCGGGGTGGTCTACCATAGAGCAAGACGAAAGGTGAGTATCCTGTTGCATCACTACGGGTGCGGTTTTACGCGTGTACTACCTTATCTAGTGACGCCTTGCAGTTTGCCTTATTTTCTTCTGGGAGGGTCAGCAGCATGGCGAGTAGGGTACGGTTGAATCTCTCTACCTGTCCATTGCCTGCGGGATGATAGGTAAATGTCCTAGATTTCTCTATGCCGCAGAGTTGAAAGAGCTGGTTCTCGAATTCTGGACCTCGTCGTGATGCAGACGTTTCAGGAACCCGAACTTTAACATAAATTCGTTAAAGATTCGGTCAACTGCAGTCTTCCTCAACTTGTTGGTAGTTGTGTAAGCCTGAGCAAAGTGGGTGAAATAGTCAACTACCACCAATATGTACTCATAGCCTCCCTTACGGCGCTCTAGGAGCTGAAAATCGATAGAAATGAGTTCAAAGGCTGGGTTGTGACATTACTTTGCATTGGGGCTCGTGTGGGTTGATTCGGCCGCTTCTGCTTCAAACATAGACATTGCCTGTTCACATAATGCTCTATTTCTTTCTGCACTCCGGGCCAGTAGAGCCTATCTTGGGCGAGGCTGACTATCAGTACCAGGGTACCCCACGTTGTCATGGAGTTCTTTGTAAACTCGCTGCCGATATTCTGCAGGTAGGACCAATTTGTGGCGTTTGCCCTCTTCCGGTACAGGACACCATCCATCAGTGGTAGTTTACGCAATTCGAGAAGGAGAGATATTGTCTCATGTGGTTCCCTTCGGCTCTCATGCCTTGGTGGTCGTCGTCCTTGAGCCATTTATTGCCACACTCGTTCAATTCCTAGATCAGCTTGCTATACTATAGACATTTTACCCTTATCAAGCTGCTCCTTGGCATTGTCCTCAGTGGAGGCCGTGTTCGTTGACATCACTGCCCAAGAGGGACCAGGAGTTTGGGTCGTGTTGACTGCATTGATGGTAGCATCAATTGTGGCTGGATGAATGATTGGGAGAAGTCTGGGAAAGCCATCACTGGAGGGGTGATCAGCAATCTGAAAGGGAGTTCAGGACATGCTGGTAATCAGATGTCCAGGTAATGGGCTGTTTGGAGGGCACCTGACCGGTACCTCGTTTGATGTGTTGCGATATTCCTGGTCTACGGGTTTCTCGTGAAGGCTTCCCTCGGTTCTCGGGAGGGATAGCAAGGAGGTCGTAGAGGGGTTTTGCAATCCATGAAAAATCTTGAATAATATGTAGGGAAACTATTAACGTATATTATGATTTTGCTTGATTATTCACTAATTGGACCAATAGAGGGCGCTCGTCTACTTACTGTTGAAGTCAATTGCCAAAAGGTAGCCAGCTGTATATGCAAATTAGTCTAAAAATAGAACGATATCCATGCAACGGAGGGATATGTCTGCAACGACTTAGATTTTTGGCTGGTAGAGACGAGTTGAAAACGAAAAAGGAGTTGGCTTTGGAAGGGGAAAAAGAAGGTGGGTCTTCGTAATGGCGTCTTGTGAACCCTAAGCCACGCCGCATGGTGCAGATTGTTTGCCTCCTCCCCTGCGACTGCGGGAATGATTATCAATGTGATTCCAATCAAATCTGAATTACAATAAATCAGCACATCTGAAGCTACTGGATGCCTGCTTCTCTTGAGTATTACTCTGGTAATTTCATTCGTCACAAGTGAGAACAGACCCGGTTGTCAAGTCTGAAATGTTG